TGCAGAGCCCACCGTGGCCTTTCCGCCAGCCATCCACGCAGTAACGACATAGAAAACATTTATGCGTGGGGCTCACCTGATGAAAAGATACAGATGGTTCTAAGAGGTTTTTTTTTTTAATGTGTTGTTAAGGTTTGTTTCTTAATTGTTTGGGGTTTGTTTGTTTTTTAATCTTAAAACTTTTTTCTTTCCTTTTTTGGGGGAGAGGTGATTAGGTTTATTTATTCATTCTAACTTATTTAATTTATTTATTTAATGGAGGGACTGGGGATTGAACCCAGGACCTCGAGCATGCTAAGCATGTGCTCTACCACTGAGCTATGCCCTCCCCTCTAAGAGATCTTTCAAAGTGGCAGCGGGATTAGGGGAGTCACTCACCCTCACAGCAAACCTGGGAGGCAGGGAGAGCAGGCGTGAGTATCCATGTTTTAGAGAAAGGGACTGGAGAGGGGCAGTGACTTACTGAAGGTCAGCAGGAGAGCAGGGAGCAGGTTCCAAGACTTCCTGACTCTTAATCAAGAAGGCCTTCCATCCAGACTTAGAATTATAAGCATCTTAATGAGCACGTGTGATTTAAGGACGATTTGAAGGCAGGGATCTGGTGTTAATTGCTACTCCCTTGGTGATGCTTTGATAAGCCGATATTCACAAGTGACTACCTAAAACAAGTGATTATAGAAAATAGTAATTTTAATGTCCATATCTGGACGAGTTTGGTCCTAAAGCTCCAACCAGGTGGTTTCTGAAAGCATTTCCCATTCTGGGGTCACAGATTTGGAAATCAGGTAGGGATCCTCATGTTATCCATTCTGCAGATGCAGAAGGAATCTGGCAGCCACAGGTGTTGCCAGGACCATCACAGGTGTGAGAGCATCACCTGTTACAACCCTGAAAACCCCCAGGTGTTGTAGTCCCGAGTCTCAACCTAAGCAGACATGAGCTTGGAAAAGTAAGAGCAGGATGAAGAGACACAGAAAGAAGGAGGCAGGACCACAAACCCCTTTCCCATCATTTGGTTCTGCCACAACCTCCCTGGGACTGGGAGAGGAGCCTGGGACGGTGTTCCTGTGCCAGCATCCCACTCTGGCCAGGGATGAAGGAAAGGCGCCTTCCAACTTTTGTTGGCGCAAGCATCCTCCCCTTTTTTGCAATACCATCTCTTCCCACCCCTAGTGGGAACTACTACTAACCCACCACAACAAACCTACTAGTAGAAGTACTAAAATATACTAAATTTGCAAGGGAGGAGGGGTTGTACAGAGGAAAGGAATCACTGAGAACAAACTTGGTAGGGACAGAGCCCCCATTATCAGAAGTTAGTTATTGTAATTAGCTAATTATCTCCTTAGAATGTAGAAACCCATCATACAAGTTTTTAATGAATTCCTGCTACAGACTTGGTGATGTGGTGGATCCCGAGGGCCACCAAAATCCCTGGAAGGGACTGCAATTCAATTAGGGGTGTTGATAGTGGTCTGGGGTTCCTTCAGTGGATAACCCCAAGCCAGACACAACAAAGCGTGGGGCGGTGCAGTAAAAACCACAGGAACTATGGACTTGAAGAGAAAGAGATCAAAGAGGGCTTCCCAGTATCCTGGGACGTCTTCAGGGAAATGTTTTCAAGATGCAAGGCAAGTGGCCACTAATGTTGTCACATCTGCCGCGGGACTGGAGGTCAGGGACCAATAATGGCAGCGGATGGTTCACTGGCAGTAGGTGCAATGCTATTAATTTGTCCAAAATCAACCTTAGACAATGTACCTCCACTTAATCTAGTTAGGACTGGACGGGGGCAGTCTGGACAAATTTGCCTGGGTGAATTCTGAACAAGAAAGTACCCTATACTTTTCGCCTTAAATACACACACACACCCCTTCAAACTCTTTGGTGGTCCAGCTATGGTGACCCTTCCTTGTCTGTTTGCCTATCTGTTTTGTAGAGAAGATGGAACCACTGTCCCTGAGTCATGGGCCTGTTGGTAAATTGGGATCCAGAGGCGAAGCGCTAAAGCTCTCGGCTTGGTTCTCCCACCTCGGCGCTGACACTGAGGCCAGGTAATTCTTTGCTCTGGGACCTTCCTGTGCCTTGTGGGCTATTCGTAGCATCCCTGGCTCCTGCCCACTCCAGGCTAGCAGCATCTTCCCTCCCCCATCCCTGAGTCAGAACAAGCAAAAAACATCTCCAGCATTACTGAATGTCTCCCCTGTTCTAGAGAAGGGGATCCCATACTACGGTGTCTGCCACACCGTGACTGTCCCCTCTTATCCTTCCTCACTTCTTAATCCACTTTGTCGCCACTGATTTCTTGAAATCTGAAGGGAATTTAGAGTTGATCTGAGTCCAGGCTCTCCTTTAGAGCTTAAGACCTGGAAGGGAGCTCAGTTCGTAGCATGACACTTCGATGACAACCCCATTTCCTTCGAGACC